AACCATGTGACAGAAAACCAATGACTTTAGACCCCTTGACCCCTAAACCTTTAGATCCCTAGACACCCATGACCCTTGGAACCATGTGACAGAAAGCCTATGACTTTAAACCCCTTGACCTCTAAACCTTTAGACCCCTAGACACCCATGACCCTTGGAACCATGTGACAGAAAAACCCATGACTTTAGACCCCTTGACCCCTAAACCTTTAGACCCCTAGACACCCATGACCCTTGGAACCATGTGACAAAAAACCAATGACTTTAGACCCTTAAACCTTTAGACCCCTATACACCCATGACCCTTGGAACCATGTGACAGAAAACCAATGACTTTAGACCCCTTGACCCCTTAACCTTTAGACCCCTAGACACCCATGACCCTTGGAACCATGTGACATTCATGTGACAGAAAACCTATGACTTTAAACCCCTTGACCCCTAAACCTTTAGACTCCTAGACACCCATGACCCTTGGAGCCATGTGACAGAAAACCCATGCCTTTAGCCATTTCCTTTAACCTATAACGTTAGAAATCATGAATTTTGAACCAGCCCATAGCCTAATCGTGTGACCAATAATTTAAAGACTGGTGGCCCATAACCCCAATACCCTAGACCAACCAAGAGGTGGACTATCATCTTCACTAGACGATAAATGCACAGCTCAATTAAACAATATAGTTTTTCCTGCACAGATTGTACGTTTCCCAGAAAACCCGGTTCGATGGGACAAAGATCTATCTGCCTTCATGAACTCTTCTGTTATCGGTATCGAGCTACGCAATGATCAAGACAAAGAGATTCCTGTGTCGAATACACGTAAAGATATAGAAATCTTTATCCCTGTAACAGGTAAAACACGATTGTTTGTAATTGTTTGTTGTTTACTGGTTGATGGGCTGGCTGATTGATTGGCTGGCTGGCTGGCTGGTGGGTTGGTGGGTTGGTGGGTTGGTGGGTTGGTGGGTGGGTGGGCTGGNCAGTCAACTCCAAAAAGTCACGTGATTGATAGTAAGCAATAAGGAGAATTGTAGCTAATTAAGTGAACACTGATTGTTTTTGATAATTATTTTTTTAAAGATTATTTTCAAAACAAGAAGTTGTAACAGAGTACAACTTAGATAATAGAATAAAATAAAATAAAACAACGAGAAACAGGACAATGACATTGCAAAGACCATTGCAAAAATATAAAAAAACCATATGGCAGACTAAAAAACACAACACCAAGAAAGAGCCGTTGGAAAGGATAAAGATGGTACATATGACGTCACGCACTTTAGCAGGAAAACTGTGGTCAAAGGAGGTATGGGTAATGGAGATTATAAAGGTCGCTCTGGTTCTTACTTACATTTCAAACACATTTCTTCTCGTTCGTCTTTCATTTGCCTTGGAGTAATAGGAGGTACCTGGATGATGAAACAAAAGCTAATCAAATGGGAAACAGGTCATTCAGTCTAACGTCAAATATTTGTTTTATCGGCCAATCATGAACAGACATGAACAGACACGTCATATACGTCGTCTTTGTAAATCATCCAATCATGTAATTTTAAAATTCATAATTATCCAGTGAAGTGAAAATAAAAGAAGACTACCCGAATCCGCCTTCTTTTTTTACATTCTCGCACAGCTAAAATCCTGTAGAATGTTAGTGCAAGTCGTCTATTGCGTGACTAGATCGACCAATAGGATGAGTGATCTGATCAACCAATCATCACTAGTTATGTCATAGGATCATAGGTCAATATCTTACCACTCTAACGAACAATGGTAAATGGTTCTCTAGAATACAATTAAGGCGTTCTGAACGGTTTTCTGACAAGTGAAAGTCTTCAGCTAAAAAAATGAAAAAACAAAATTATTACAATCTGCTGACGCTGGGTTGAATGGTTGTCTGACAGTTAGATTAAGTGTGGATGGATGGATGGGGAGTTGAATGTATGGTTGTACGTATAGACTGGGTTTGATAGATGGATAGTTGGTTGGTGGGTTGGTGGGTTGGTGGGTTGGTGGGTTGGTGAGTTGGTGGGTTGGTGGGTTAGTTGGTTGGTTCTTGAGTTTGATAAGATGGTTCAGGGAGCTTCTACGCGGTTCTGCTTGGTCTTTAATGTCGAGTCACTCCCCAGGGGATGTAGTCGGGGGGTAAAATGACGGGGAGGTCCGACGGAGCTTCATAATGCGACCCCCCCAAAATACTCAAACCTGAAATTTTACACCCAAAAAAATACATGCATCCAAATTTCGGACACAAAAAAAAATACAATACTTAAATACTTCAAAACTGATTTATTGAATGCATGATTTTGCATAAAACGAAAAACAGCTTAATTGTTATCAGTATGTTCCTTTACGGATCTTACACCTTGCTGAAAAAAATTTCAAACGAATAATTTTCTGATACATGGATCGAAACAAAAATTGAACTTGGAGATGTGACAACCCAAAAAAATACGGGTTTCTTTTTGAGACCTACCCCCCCCCCCCCCCCGAGTACATTCCCTGGGAGTCGCTCCCAAATTGCAGTTTTCTTGCACGTTTTCACGATACGAATTCTTTTCTAGGCACGAACGTCGAGCATTACTCAAAAACATTCCACTCAGGCACCTTAAAAAACTTCACTTATCACTACAGAGTAGGTAACAGCCAAGTCAAAAATGAGCCACTTTTGGTCCACATCAAGCCAAACAAACCCCTAACTCTCTACCTAAGCTTCCGCACATATCCAACCACTACAACATACCATCTTAAGATACAACTACCTTGCCTCAATGAATCATTACCCTGGCCTTACTCTAAAGTGGATAACTACACGATACTAATCATGGACTTAAAAGAGCTTGGAGAGAATTTGTATCTTGCACTCGAACCAGAAGAATTGGTCAAGTCTAAGGGCTTAGAAACTCCAAGTAATATGGAATTGGTGCCTGTTTCTGATGTGGTTCAGGTTAATTATACTGTTGATGTCAGAAGCGTGGGCTGTAAGTATTGGTCTGAGAAGACTCAGGACAAGTGGAGTGGTGATGGATGCAGGGTAAATATTGTTTAATCTGTCATCATCACCAACATTATCATCATCGTCATCATCTTCACCATTATCATTACCATCATCATCATCATCATAGTCATAATCATCATCACTATCATCCTTACTTATAATCAGCAGTAAAGGCTTCGACTACAACCATTATCTTCATCATCGTCATCATCTTCACCATTATCATTACCATCATCATCATCATCATCATCATCACTATCATCCTTACTTATAATCAGCAGTAAAGGCTTAGACTACAACCATTATCAACATCATCGTCATCATCTTCACCATTATCATTACTATCATCATCATCATAATCATCATCACTATCATCCTTACTTATAATCAGCAGTAAAGGCTTCGACTACAACCATTATCATAATCATTATATTGTCTATTCTCATCATCATTCATCATCATCACCAGGCATGACCTTCAATAACACCACACCTTCAACTCTCATGCCACCATCATCATTATCATCAGTCATCATCAACATAATCTCATCACCATATATTATTACTCATCGTCAACTTCATCGCCACCATTTTACAACCAATCTTCGTTAGTACTTTAATCCTGTAGTTCAACTATATTCATTTTCATATTTGAGAGCAATAATATACTAATCAAGAGAAAATGAACTAAGCGAAGAAATCTCTGGTATTTTTGCTTGTAACCATCGTAGGTACCATTTGATGCTATTTTTAGAATCACATTTGCCATAGTTTATTTTTGTGCACGCACATACTGCGCACGCTCTACGCTGTTTGCTTACCGTTTCTTAAAAAACAAAAGAAGACATGAGCAAACAGGGTAGAGCGCGCGCAGTATGCGCGTGCAGACAAACAAACGGTCAAATGAATGATTCTAATAATAGCATCAAATATTCTAAAAATAGCGTAAAAAGTGCTCATGATGGGGCGCGGGGATTCCTTCTCTTAGTTCATACTCTCTTGTACTAATGATATGCAGCAATTGTTTTACAGGTTGGCAACAAAACAAGCTACTCATCTGTCCACTGTTTGTGCAACCATCTCACGTTCTTCGGGTCTGTCGTCGTGAAACCAAACCCAATCAGTAAACCAACGTTTCAGAAATTCAAAGAAGGATATATCAATACTATTGCCGTTTGCGTAATCTTCATTATCTACTTTATGGCTTTGATTTGGGCCAGGCGAAAGGACAGAGCGGATATGATCAAGGTAATGAAAGTGTGTTGTCAGTAGATACCATTCGTTTCGGTCTCACGAGTGTACATGCATGAGAAGTTACCGATGAGCAAAATTATTTCGGTTCACACCTGCAAAGGTCGAACGTTGATCCAATATTTTAGTACTATCTTTCGGTAATTGCTTTACTTGTTATTCCAACCCTATCGCCCTGCTTTCCTTGTGCTGTTTTGGTTCTTTGGAGAGCTCTACCAATTCTCAACTAGGAGTACATTGGGACCGGCGAGAATACCCGGGGGGGGGGGGGGGTACTACCACCCCAACTTGGGTAGGGGTGTGCCGCCAGGACCTCAAAACCCTGACCCTATCCCAGACCTAAAATTTTGATTTTACATACCCTACCCCAGACTAAAACTAAGAATTGTACACCCTATCCCAGACTAAAAGACGGAAAATACGGTTTTACAATCGATTGCAATCAATATTTACTAACGTTTTTATTGTTTTGTTTGTGTCGGCAGAAGGCGTAGCCTATTTGCCAGACAAAAACGACCAAATCGTTAACCCTATCCCAGAATAAAATGACACCCTATCCCAGACAAAATGTCAAAAAATGATACCCTACCCCAGACCCAAAAGCCGAAAAACCATACCCTATAGGGCGACACATACCCGTATAGCAAATATAGGGGAGAATCCCCCCGGGCGAGAATAGCATACTGTTTTGTTCATTTTTGAATATCAAAATGTGTTGCAACATATCCACAGGTCGGCGCCTGCCCACTTCCAGACAACGACCCAACCGACCAGTTCCGCTACGAGATTACCCTCTGGACGAGCATGCGTCGTGGTGCAAGTACAAACTCTAAAGTGAGCATCCTCCTGGACGGTGAAGAAAACGACAGCGAGGCAAGGACCCTCGAGGATCCCGAACGTAAGCCCTTCCAGCGCGGGAGCGTAGATACCTTCCTACTCACCACACCCTATCTGTTGGGTCCTCTACCGTACATCCGCATCTGGCATGATAATTCAGGGGGATCGTGGTTCTTGAGCCGTGTCATGGTTATTGACCTTCAGACAGATGAACATTACTATTTTATATGTAACCGATGGCTGGCTGTTGATGAGGATGATGGACAGGTATGAGCTAGTACGTTACGCGCGATACTTCGCATCGTTATTTAGTATGAAATAGTAGTCTGACTCATGGATGCAGAAGATGGTCAGGCAATTAACTATAACACGAGATGTGATTGTTCGATGCGCGTTTTGTATTACAAAGAATTAGCAAATCGAGGTCTCTTTTCCATGGTCTGTATTCTTATCATGAAATCAAATGGCGTCAGCATACGATCCAAACTCAAGTGGAACCACGAGCAAAGCCTTTACTGAAGGCTGATCCATATTGAGATTCATAAGATGTATTTATCTGATTAACAACAACTAATAGAATACTATCTGGTTGATTGCAAATGACGGGCAGTGTTTGCTCGTTATCGTAGGCAGAAAATGAGAATCATGAGATTCATTCAGCCGATAGATATCAAGCGATAGAATACTCTCAGACTGATGGCACTTGACGGGCAGTGTTTGTCTGTCATCGTAGACTGATAGTGGGAGTCATGACATTCAATCGGCCAGTTAGATACCAAGGAAAAAATGCTTGATTTTTATACTCTTTCCTTCAGGTCGAACGTCTCATTCCATTAGCAAGCAAAGAAGAACTGACTGAGTTTCAGCATCTGTTTGTCGCGCGCACACGACGTAACCTTAGCGACAATCATCTATGGTTCTCAGTCTTCGCTCGTCCTGCTAGCAGTCGGTTCACTCGTGTCCAGCGGTTGACGTGTTGTTTATGTTTAATGATGATGTCGATGATGACCAGCGCCATGTGGTATAAGGACGTCCCTGTTGCAAACCAGGATACTAACAAATTTGCTGGCATTAGCTTTACTTGGAAAGATGTAACCCATGGATTTGATTGACTTTTCTTCATTACCATCATCATCAATCATTCAACCACCAATCATCAGCATTATTATCATGATCATCATTAACATATCGTCATCACCATTATCATCATCATGTATCTTCATCACCATCATCACTATCAGCATCATCATTTATCATCATTATCACCATCACCACCATGTATCATCAGTATCATCATTATCTTCATCATCATCATCATGTATCATTTATCATCGTTATTGACCAACAATCATTATTATCCTCATCATCATTATTGTTATCATCAACTACCAATCATCATTAACATCATTATCTTAAGTCATCATCATTACACCATCACCACTGTAATCATTGTGGTGGTCCTCATGTACCATTACCAACATCAACCACACATAACCATGGATTATCATCATATGTCATCATCATTACACCATCACCACTGTAATCATTGTGGTTGTTATCATGTACCATTACCAACATCAACCACACAACCATGTGATTATCATCATCGTTATCATCATTAGCATTAATAATCATCACTTTCATCATTCACCTCATTATCATTATCATCATTGTCCATCCATCTATTGTCATCGTCATCATCGTTCTTACCACAATTATAAACTGAGTTTCTAGTTGAATAGTGTAAATTGAACTGAATTGCATGAAGTGAAATAAGATATAATGGAATGAATGGACAAATGAGTCAGAAAATAGTCAAATCTATCCTAGAATCGAGTACTATAAAATACCTGTCTGTATTTTTTGCCAGGTCTTTATCGGTGTTGTATCAAGTCTTATCGTCTTCCCAGTCAACTTAATAGTAGTCCAAATATTCCGAAGTGTTCGCCCCAAACCACATCGAATAACCCACAGAAAGATCCCCATGCCGCCTAAGCTCTCTCTCACCGTCACGAACCTCTCGACTTACAACAAGATGAAAGATTGCTCTGATGATTCTAACAAGGGGTCTAACAACAGCCTTGAGTCCATGCACGAGAAGAATAACTCCAAGATGAGGCTCTCGATCAATGATGTTCATACAGATGTGGACCGGGTTAGTTTCACTTCCAGCCCACTGCTTGTGGATCGTAGACAGAGTACAATGTGGGACTCTTCAGGTATGTTAGTAGTGACGTCATATTGAATTGTAACCCGGCCTTGGATTGCAACGGTGAGGGAATGAGGAAAGAAGGGAGGGAAAGGAAGGGAAGGTAGAAATGAATAAAAAATGATGAAATAAAATAAAATTCGTGAATATGAGTACAAGTGAACAAATGATTGAATAAATGGATGAATTATTAGAAATGATAAATAGAATTGAAACATGGTTCACTTAATTTGAATTTGATAAGAAAAGTAAATGGGTGAATGGGCGTAATGATTGATATTTGAAAGAGTATGAGAATTCTGATAGGGGAGTTAAAGCAGTGAAAACAAGAGAGAGAGAGAGAGAGAGAGAGAGAGAGAGAATAAACCCAACAAAAAAGAAAAGAAAGGTAATCACATGAACCTTTATCTTTTCTTTTGTTATCATACCTATTTAGGTACCACCAGGCTTCAGCGACTAGTGCAATGGTTCAAGCGACATAGCAGCCTCCCATACTATTTTATCTACGTGGCCTGGTTCCTGGCGGTAACTCTTACTCTGGGAGCGGCGATTGTCATCATTCTTTATGGCATTGACTTTCGTAATGCCAAGTCTTATAAATGGCTTCTTTCATCAATGGTGTCATTCATACAGGACGTCATGATAACACAGCCTTTAAAGGTTAATTACATTAACTAAATAATTTTTTCATGATCTAGCTTTTATCTTTTCTTTGCTCTGCCATTCTGTGCTGTGCTGTGCTAAATCCCACTGAACATTAATTTTGGGATGCTAACTGCAGGTATTGGGGACAGCTATCTTCTTTGCTCTCATCGTCAAAAAGCCTGACAAAGGTGAGTTTGAGATCTCCAGCGATGCAGCCCAGTTGGCCGAGGACGAGGATTGGTTGTACCAGACAGGGGATCAGACAAAAGCCAAAAAGAGAAAAAAGACAAAACTGCTTCCTCCTGACCAGGCAAAACTGATGGCTATGCGAAATACCCGGATGAAGGAAAGAAAGATGCATTCTGTCATCAGGTTAATATACTTTTGTAAACCGAATGAATGTTTTAATCATATTTGTGATAAATTATTTTTCTCATTACTCATTTAACACAATAGACATCAATATGAATATATGTACAATTGCTTTAGTTCAATGAGGAAGTACAGGTAAACCTGGTCAAAATCGTAGACTTCGCACCAATCATAAAGTTGAATTTTTGAAAACTTTGAAATGGAATGTGAAATCGAAAATTTTGATAAGGTGTACCTTTTTTTCAAATGCTAGAATATAGAAATGCAACAAATATTTTTTTATATATTTAACTTTTTCAATACTCTTTGGATAAAAGCTGTAAATAATTTGATACTTTCTTAATAACCTGTATCTGCGGTTATTATTTACCATTAATCAGAAAATTATTACCATTGTGTATCTAAAAATAGACGAGGAAAGTCTTGTCAATATCATACTGAAATTTTCCACCAACTCAAAATGCTCAAAATTCTGACATCTTCCGCTTTAAAAACCTAATACCTGAATGATTTGGACAAAATTGAGGCGATTTGAGGTTTATCTCACTGAGGCTACTGAAAAATGCCTTCAAACATATACATGGAGAACGAGAAACGCCTAGTCAAAAACGTGAATCTTACACTAACTCAAAATGCTCAATTTTGAGAATTTTGAGCTGTTGTAAAAATCACGACATCGACCAGGCGTTCCTCGTCCTTTTTATGTAACGTTTTTGACAAAATTTTAACTCTTTTTTGAAAAACACTCGGAAACTGTTCCAAATGCTTCCAATCCCAAGGGAATAGCCCCTCAAAAACTAAAAAACTTATAAATGACGGGTTTTACTTCGAAAACTTTCGAATAACGGGAGAAACCCAGAACCCGTCAAGCAAATGAGAGCGAGGAACGCCTGGTGATTTTCATCACTTTTACACCAACGGATTAAGCTCAAA